CCTGCAGCACCGTATGCGTGCCCAAAAACTGAACTGCACGTCCGTCCTGTTCGACTACAGCAGTAGCATCACCCCCTCCCTGTCCCACTCTATTCCAAAACGGAAGATTGCCGACTACAGCATAATGCTGTCTGAAGTGCTGTCTGTACAAAAACACCATGGTAGGCATGGAACAAGCAGCTGGCGGGGCACAAAGCTGCTGTCTGAAGTGCTGTCAGAATGTGTCTGCGGCCGTACAGTGAAAAAGAACAACCAACCAAAGCAATCAAAGCAGCAATTGACAATCACCCGAATCTCTCCCAATCGTTTGTGTAGGCACTGCAGTTCCCAGTTTCAATCAAAACTGGGTCCTGTGGGGTCGAACCACGTGCAAGCTATGATTTCGGCTCCGCCCTTGTCACGCCTCCTCGTTCGGGCTCAACTCCCGCCGTTTCGTTCCAAAATCAAGTCGAAGGCGACGAACATGCCACTTTGATAGGACACGGTGAAAAGATCGGACACAAACGATGTTCGCACTCATCGACGCCAGCACTGTTGACTACGAAACTAACGTACATCGCTGCNCTTCGACTTGATTTTGGAACGAAACGACGGGAGTTGAGCCCGAACGAGGAGGCGTGACAAGGGCGGAGCCGAAATCATAGCTTGCACGTGGTTCGACCCCACAGGACGGTCCTGTCCTCCATCGGCCGTTTTATTTTCGATTTAGATACACAAACTTTATTTCTATACTAATTTCAAGTAATTCCACCTTCTTATTCTCCGTCATACAAGCAAAACGGCCGATGGAGGACAGGCCTAAACATTGGTGGGCAGTGGAACCGAGTGGAACCGAGTGGAACAAAAAAAAAAAAATGTATCAAAGGTCTCACAGCAAGGTGTATGTGTACATAGTCCACAACATGTAACATACAGCAGCAGTAGGACACACGCACGGTGAGCAGCGGAATCAGCGTCGTCATGAATCCTAGACGACCACCCAGAGGACGACATCGTCGTGGAACATCGGCTTACATCAGGAGCACTCGTCAAGAGAGGACTCGGGAAAATATACGGGTTCGGGAAATGCAGAGGAGGTGCGGTATCTTAGACGATTTACCAGACGACGTCCTAACAGCAGTCGTGTAATACTGAGTACTTACTGAGTACTACCACATATAATCTGATGAGAAGCTGCACGAACAGGATCGCGTCGCAGGCGAGGTCGCTGCTGTTCTTTCCGCTCTAGTCTACCTTGTACACCACGGAGGTTCCATCATGCATGTACACCGATGAGCTGCAGAAGGCAACGTTCGTCGAGCGAGCCGTTGCGTATCCAATTTGCACAAAGGGTCACGTTGTAGCATTGGAATCCAGGCGTGTTAACAACATTCAATTCCTGGAACGGCAAAAGGGTCAATGCGAGGAACATCTGTGTTTTACGCAAACAAGTCGATCCGTTTCAATAGTCACATGCTAACCCACCATGATACATATCCGGAAAAGAAACGAGAGACAATCCCAACACTCGCACAAATTGCAAGTCATTCTCAAAAAATATATCGAAAAGCAGGGTAGGACGGAAAACGACCCAGCATGGAAGCAGAATCCATCGCTCCGACGCCAGAGACGTTGACGACGTCCTCTGACAATGTTAGACCCCATCTGTCCATAACTGTTGGTTAGCATGTACTACCCGCCATGTGAAACACAGTTGTCCCAGTTTCCTATTTTTTTGCGTACAGTCCACTATTCTTCAGCTAGCTAACCTACATAATCCACTGCTGCTGCTGTATTGGCATTTGTATCGCTGTTGTTGTAGCACGCACCGCCCACTACCTATCTTCTATCCCAGATAATCTTTGTCATCTTACGTTCTTCGTCTTCATCCACTGATCGTCCTGGACCCCGCCTGCACTCTCAACCGTCTTCGGACAGCTTTACCACGACCTTGGTATCCTTCATCTATCTGTACATATCTGAAACCACAAAGATATTCAACACACCCCATGTCGTCACCCATCGCCTTCGCGTTGTGCATCCAATCACCTCTTTGCTATATATTTTCAACCAATCGCATATGTATACGGTTTCTTCATTGAAATAGCAACCGGTTCGACTTTGTAGTCCACACTGCCTAGCCTGACCTTGGTCCCCCCTACATATGCCCACCTGCCCTTTCCGTCTGCTTATCCTCTCCTTCCAGTCGTCGTTGCTGCATATCCCTCTACCGATCATCAATGTCGGCCCAAGATGAACTCCGCGCGCTCCTTGCCGCTGAAGACAATTCGAACGAACCAGACAACCACGTCGATACGACGTACACAGGTGAATTCCTTTTGCGTCTCTACTACATACTGTGTTGTCCTTGTCTCAGCTCTGTTGGGATGTAACCTCGTGATGGGTGTATCCCTGGATGTGGCAAGCACTGTGTAGAAACAGTGTGCAGAGGCTCACGTGTGACTGTTAAGTACACTTGTGTAAAGACCAGATTGATGGTTTGAAGTGGCTCTTAGTTGGCCGAAAGGTAAGGAAAAGAAGAAGAGTGATCGAGAGGGGGCGAG